ATATTACTCTCTGAGGAATCCATTAATGTCTCTCTTGAGGCAAAGGCACATGAGTTCCTTGGTCTCTCCACCATATGGCTTGAGAAGAAAGCCCCAGACCCCAAAGCAAAAAGGAAGAAGTAGGAATTCTCTGGGCAGCATGGTCCAACTACTCAGATTTTTATCAAAAGAGGCTGAGAAGGTGATTTCCTGGCTTTGGGGTTGTCTTGATACCAGAAGAGGGTCATGCACATGGCAGCAGTGAAATCTACACCACAATATGAATGAACAAAAGACCACAACTTGGAGCCTTAATATGACAATGTGTTACTTGGCCAATGTTTAGTCTGTCTGTCTAGAATCTCCTTCCAAGAGAGTGAAGCCCTCAGCTAGTCCCAAAACGATGCAGGCCAGTGTGGATCTCTGAGGGTGAGAGAAGAATATTAGTATATTTCCTCTCTGCTAGTTCCAAGTTAATTTCTCCCACAAGGAGTCCAAACCACAGGGTTTTTTCAAGGATATTACAACCCTGGGGAAAAGGTAGAAATCAACAGAGAAGAAGGAAATGGTAAATCTGGTTTATGGATTACTGTGAGTCCTTTCTGTGTTTTCTGAGAGGTAGAACAAAGGTCACCCTACTCAAATTATACATTTCTTGAGTGCCTTTACCCACATCTGTGGAGACCTAGATGTTTGTTATATTCAAATATCATGCTGTGATTTCCTTGGAGGCAACATGGGAGGAGAAGAAACCTGAGCTAAAGAGAAAGTGATTTTTCATGTTCCCTGCATTTAATCTGGTCTATTTAATCCCATACAGAGCCTGGAGCTCAGACTCAGATGAGTCTGGGCCTAGTTTGATTCCTTGATTTTGTCTCTGTCATAGTGACCACTTTTTTTCACAAATTGAAGTAATAAAAGCATTGCTTCTGCTGTCAAATAAAGTAGGCGGAAATAACATCTCACCCTATCCCAACTAAGCTAAAAGTTGATTTCACTCTAAAGATACCAATCCTTAGGTGCCTTTCGCAAATGAAACTAAAAACGTTAACAACAATAATTTATGACTTAGAGGGAAATATGACTTTTCTCTTAAGAAGCACTTCATCTCTATTGTCCAAACTAATCTGCACAATAACCCTGTGAGGTAAGGAGTACAAAGATTATGATTCCTGATTTAGAGATGATGAACTGAGGCCTAGGCAGGTGGGACAAATCTCAGCCTCAAAACTCAGGGCATTAATTCCTTGTCTACTACTCTACTCAGTTTGCTGCTGAAGTGGATGCAGATTGTATTTGTTAATGCATTTAACTTGGACTCAAAAGAATGACTGACTAATCAAATATTGCTCTAGTACATGTAACCCCAGAAACAGAAAGTACTTTAAAACACAACAAAGGACTAACTCCTTTGTTTTGATGTAGGGAGAAACTCATTGGGAACAAAACAAAATGAAGACATTGCTGACAGAAGATTTGCATGCGAAATTCGTGCAACTAGAGAAGGAGAAAAGTCAAGACTCTGTTGAGTATTGAGCACAGCTTGAAGAACCCCCTACAATGGTAAGCTTGGAAGAAAAGGTGGAGAAACTTAAGAAACAGCTCAGTGAAATGAGATGGTCAAATCAAATCATGAAAAACTCACCTGAGGAGAGTCATCTACCTCAAAGTAAGTTGAGATAAGTGAAGTACTTTCAGAAACTCAACCAGGGTCTTTGTCACTGCTTTCTGGTCTCCCTATTTCAGTTAAACAAACAGGTCCCCTTTGTGCTCTTCACTTAAGGGAAACTTTCCAAACTATGAATCTTCTGGATTGCCTCCTGACCTTCTCCATGTCCTTCACTGAGTGTCCCAGTTGTAAGATCCTCTAAATCAACTCTATTTCAGCAGGTATACCTATTCAATTGAAAGACAGTCGACACAATCCATAGAAGACTAGACTTGGAGTCAGCAGACCTGTGTTTGACCATGGGAAAGGCTCCAAGCCTCAGTTTCCTCACCTGTAAAATGGGGCCCCCAAACCTGTACTACTTATCTGACACTTTTTGTTGTGAGGCTTAAAGTGGGGAATAAACATGCTATATGAATGGTGGCGGTTATTCTACACTCATGGATCAGCCAGTGAAATTTGCAGTTTATTGGCAACAGTCTAGCCAGACTTTGCTTCTTGTTTCTCTGTGTGTGGGTAGCACAGACTATGAGCTCCTTGAGGCTGGGACCTCATTTTGTACTTTTTCTTGAATTTCTGGTCTGACTCACAGTGCCCTGTATACTTGGCTTCAGTGTGAGAAGACTTAGTTTTTGTTGTTGTTGTTTGTTAAGAATGATGACATGTGTGATTGTATATCTATGCTCCTCGATTGTGAGATACTAGGTGGACCAGAGGATAGAGCCCTGGCCCTGGAGTCAGGGAGACTTGAGTTCAAATCTAGCCTTTCAGAGTTGTTGGCTGTGTGATCCCAGGCATTAACCTGCGATCCACCTCCATTTCCTCAACTGTAAAATGGAGATAATGTTCAAAACTCCCTCCCAGGGTTGTTGTAAGGATCAAAGGAGATGATCTTTGTAAAGTGCCTTGCTCACTGCCTTGCTCTTAGTCAAGTTGATAAATACTCTCCCCCTTTTATATTTGCCTGGAATCTTAGAGGGAAGATAAGTGAACTGGCCTATCATATAGAGGAGAGACAGAACCGTAATCATTCTCTCCTCACCCTCACAGGACAAAACCATTGAGAAGATCCGGGAATCTTTAAAAATGGTTGAAAGAGTTAAAGAGAAGACAGCTCCAAAAGTGATCAATTTGAGAAGAACATCAGACTACACCAAGCAAGAACCCAGAGAGGGCATAGAATGGCCTGTCATACCCTGGAAGCTGTCACTAATGGTCTATATATAGTAAACAGAGCACTTGAAGAAGCAGAAAAATGAGAAAAACTGGTATTTTCCCCCCTCCCCACTTTCTAACAAGGGGCATTTTAAAAAAGGAATGTCTAAAAGATTGGTCTCAAATTATCACTGTTTTCATTAAAAGTTTATTTCTCCTATTTGTTGCTTAGGGAGTTATAATCTTATTCAATTACTGTGTAAATCCCTTCGGATTTTTTGGTCCAGGATTCACTATATCTCATTTGACCAATTTTCCTAGAAAATTGTTCCTTTCTAGTAGGAAAGGTCTCCATGAAATAATATGTGTCTCCAAATATGTCCAAACATGAGTGTAGTTTTCAGATACTGAAGCTGATTCTCAGCCATACCATGATCCAATGCAATTCCAAAGGACTCATGATGAAAAACGTTATCCACCTCCAGAGAAGGAAGTGATGGAGTCTGAATGCAGATTAAAACATATTAGTTTTCATTTCTTTTTTTCGTATTTTTTCCTTTGGTTCAGTGTCTTCTTTTAAACAGGACCTATATTGTGATGTGTTTTGCATGATTGAACATGTATAGCCGATATCAAAATGCTTTCTGCCTCCAGGAGGGGGAAGGTGAGGGAAGAGGGGAGGGAGATAATTTGGGATTCTAAATTAAAATCAAATAAATGTTAAAAATTGTCTTTATATGGAATTAGGGGAAAACAAACTATTTTTTAAAATATTGAAGCTTTTGTTATTATTACTTTGATTATTAAAGCTTAAAACTGCTCGAAGACTTTTGGGACAGACTGTTTCCTCTAACAAAAACTCTACTATTGAGCAGAACAGGCAGATAGCTGATAAATTTTGAATTAGATATTAAGAAATTATATTTGAAAATACAAGATCAGTTTATGGAAGGCTCATGCTAAAAAAGGACACTTTTCTAGGAAATTGTGTAGAAACCTGGTTTGATGCTCTATGTTGCCATTGTTCATAAAAAAGTAGCTTTCTTATAAGTTGTCTTAGACAAGTGAATGTCAAAAATCCTGAGCCACTGACGCTACTTTTTCTTTTCTTTTAGTGTGTGACTGTTTCCACCCTTATAGCTCGTGGATTTTAGAGAGTCTATAAAGAAGATGAGAGGCTTTAACATGGAAATTCCAGGCAAAGAAATCACTAATCAACTCAAGCCCATCATACAAACTTATGAAATTTCTTCATTGACATCTAACAGCAGATCGAAGGCTACTGGTAATCGTAATACTGGCCAAGAGAACAAATGGCACAAAGACATTTGGTGCTTTTTTTTTGTCACTATCGCCAACCAGACCTAATTTGTTTTTTCTAATTTTTTTGTTTATTGTTTGTATATACGGCCAATAGAAAATAGCTAGAGAATGAATACAATATTTTTGGCATTTTCATTTAAGTATTCTTTGACGTTTGTCATTTGATTTTTTTCTTCTCTTTCTTATTTCACTCTTTCACCTTGTTCCTCTCTGCTTTTGCTGTAACTTATTCTTGACTTGTCATTTGTAACTTATGTGAGGTAGTCTAAACCTGAGATTTCATCACCTTGGGAACGCCACTGATACATGTCAGCAATTTTGTATTTGATAGTATTGGCTTATATTTATATTAAAACTGTAAATTATTGTGTGTCTTACGTAGGATGCTGACAAAGTTGAACGGCAAACCCAGAGTAGTACAGCTAGTATGTGTAAGAGTAGGATTTGAACCTAGGTCTTCCTATCTCCAGGGCAAACTCTTATTGCATAAAAGCAAGACATTTGTTCTACAATATGTCATTATCTTCTTTCTGCATAGTTACATTATTTTTGATCCCTACTAAAAGACATATGCATTGTCAAGTTGAAAATTTATCGTTATTTTAATCTCTCTAGTACAGAACAAAAACAGATGAGAATTTTAGGGTAAAATTTTGGTTGAAGTTTCACTTTCAAAAAAAACAACAACTGAGCTTTTGGTAATGATGCATAAAATATCTAGGGACAGAAAGACCACTAAAAATTTCAAAAGTTGGTTATTTCCTTAATAGCAATACAGCCTCGCTATAGTGGCCACAAAGGAGCCAGTTCTTAGAGCATGCAAAGATATTCCTTACCTGGTTGTAGGCCAAGTGGACAATTATGAAGAGCCTGTTTCTTCTGGCAGTGCCTAATTAATGGACATCCGCTAGAGATTGAAGAGAAAATCTTTTAACTGGCCCTAAGAAGTGATGACCAGAGTTTCCAAACTGACTTCAGCGTGGTTTTAAAAGGAATGACCCAACTCTCTCTATTTCTTTCTCTGTCTCTCCCTCTCTTTTTCTGTCTCTGTACCTAAATCTCTCTATCCTCTGTCTCTTTCTCCCTCTTGGCTTGGAAGCAGGAATGCTGCCTGAAGAGCTAGGTGGAGGAAAAGTGGCTGCCTTGCCTCTTTTTGCACTACTCAGGCATGGTAACTGTTAACCAATGGCTTCATGTCTTCTTGTGATTGTTCTGATCTTAGGCAAATGAGCTTTCCCAGATGGAAGTTTTTGTATAACCTGGTGAGCTCAGAAGATCCCCAAGTCCCCTTGGCTGTTGGAGCTGAATGACTGTAATATCAGCACCTCCTAGAGGCAGAGGAAGAAGAACCCCATAGCAACAGATTGCTGACATTAATGGAGGTACCTGCAATAGTTGTGGAAAGACAATCACCTGAGAAGGGCAGCTGCTTCAAGAGTGTGACCTCTCAGAGTGGAGAGGAGTACCAGTATGCCATCTAGAAAGGAGTCAGCCCTCGGAATCTAGCTGGAAGCTATCCTGAAGGGAACTTTATGAGGATTCTACAAAGGAAGAAAAGGACAGAAAGTGCCAGAGTTATGAGTTATCCCTTTGCTACATGTTCTCCTCACACACACTTCACTGTCATTGTACTCTAAGAGCTCTCTCTCCACTGGATATTGCTTTTCTTTCAGGTGGAACATGACCCAGGTTTTGGGGGTATGTGTTATACCACTTCTCCTTACTATGGTCTTTGAGGATTGCCTTTTCTAGAAGCTAATTAATTCTGGCTGGCTTAATAAGGACTAGTGCAATGGAGGCTTGTGAGCCAGAAAGCTGGGACAAATACAGTCCTTCTGGGTTTTCAGTCAGTCATTCAATAAACGTTTATTCCCCTTTCAGTTTGATATTTTTTTTAATGAAAGGGGCTATCCCTTGACTCACCTCTTAAAGAGGACTATTCACTGAATGGTCCTTTTCTCACTCAAAGTGAGAAGCTGGAAAGACCTCAGCTTACATGTGCCAAGTACAATCACGGCATCTGGGCTGTCTCCAGTTGTTCTGATTGATATCTGGCCACTGGACCCAGATGGATCTGGAGGAGAAAGTGAGGCTGGTGACTTTCCACAGCCCTCTGTCATTCATATCAAAGTCAATTGTAAGTCATGCCATCATCTCCCTCATATCATGTTCCTCTTCAAGAACAAATGACAAGCCACACACACACACACACACACACACACACACACACACACACAATTAAGGACCAACTAATGTGCTAAGGACAAAAGACAGTGTCTGACCTCATGGATATCACAATCTAATTGGGGAGGCAACAAGCAAACAGATATGCACAAACAAGCTCTATACAGGATAAATAGGATGTAAAAGAGGGAAGGCACTATATTGTGAGGTACTGAAGGGGCAGCTTGGTGGCAAGAGCACCTGGGGTTAGGAGGACCTGAGTTCAAATCCAGCTTCAGATACTTATTGGCTGTGTGACCCTGGGCAAGTCACCTAACCCCTATTGCCTTTAAAAGAAAAAAAAGTATTAGACAAGTCTTCCTGTTAAAGGTAGGATTTCAGCTCGGATTGAAAGATCACTAGGCAGAGATGGGAGAGAGAGCGTTCCAGGCATGGGGACAGCCAGAGAAAACATCTGAAGATGAGAGATCGAGTGTCTTGTTTCTAGAAGAGCCAGGAAGCCAGTGTCACTGGACAGAATTGTGGGGGGACAGTAAGAAGACAGAATATTATGAAGGGATTTCAATGCCAAATTTGGGATTTGGTATTACTGAGTACAAATTCACATGGTTGGACTTGCACTTTAGGAAAATCACTTTGCTTACCCCTTAGGGGACCCAACCTGCCAGTGCTGGTGTGAGTTGGGAGCATGAGCCTAGAGGAATCAATATGTCACTTTGTCCTTCATGTGTCTCTGCTCCCAGGCAGGTGCTTCCACTGACACTGTTTATTATTGCTTTGAGGATTTTATGATTGTCTCTATTCAGTTCTGTTTACCCAAAGGAACTTACCAGATCACTTCAATGGTTTCATCTG